AATTAAGAAACTAACATTCAGTTCTGTTTTCTACTGAATTGGCTAATAATAATAATAATGATGATGATGATGATAATAATAATAATAAAAAGAAGTCAGTTAGACCACTGCTGAAAATTCACCAACTAGACCCTGACAGTCAGAACCCAGAGAGATACTGGTTTGATAAGAATAAGTACAAGTTTCAATTTTCTGAAAAAGTGTGGAAACGTCAGTGTGTGAGACCACAGTAATAATACTTTTGTTATTGTTTCAGGCTGAACAGGATCTACGACTGGCCCAAACAGAGTTTGATCGCCAAGCAGAGGTTACACAGCTGCTTTTAGAGGGCATCAGCAGTACACATGTACGTCAGCTGCAACCACAAATACACAAAATGAAACTTATTTTCAGTGAAAAGAAACATCTTTGTATAACCACAGGCACGAGTTCCATTTCAATCATTTGGTTTTAGTAGATCACGTTTTTTTTTTCTTTTCGTTTTAGTCCAATGTCGGTTAAAACATGCCTTAATTCTCTTTAAAAACAGTTTATTTTACGTTTTTTGTTTTTACTTTAAGCCAATGTAACATCTTCATTCTGAAAATAAATACAAGACGTTGGAGTTTACCAAAGTAATGCAAATGTTTTAGGCAACTAGAAGTTTGTGTCTTTTCTAAATACTAAACATCCAGGGTGTACACCACACAAATTAGCCATTAGTTTGTTACATATTAACATGCATATTATTAGCACATTAACTTACACAAATCTTCAGGAATCAAATAGTTAAATTCAGTTATTAAAAACATTGTTGCTGATTACATATTTTTGCCATGGGACCAATATGGTTCTTGTATTATAAAACAATAATCATAGTTGAATAAAAGAAAGTAAAATGTCTCTGTTTTCATGCTATCCTTGTTTATTTGGTTTATCTTTTAGATCAGAACAAAACTTTGAAAACAACTGTTATCATAGTTTATAACTATATCTTTTTCTCAATAGCCTAACTTTTTAGATTGAATAAATGCTTTTCTGTAACTAAGATAAATGTATCATGTTTACAGTTGATTCTAATTCAGCTCAGAAGTAGATAAAAAAGACTTAATTAAAATGCTGGAAGATGAACAGATTTTCAAATAGTTCAAATTTATTGATGTATTGTATTTTAAAAAAAAAAACTTCAGAGTTTGTTTGTTATGTTGCAAATAATACCTTCCTGTATCTTTTCAGTCTGTTTTAAACTAGAAAAATGACTTCATTTACGAGCACTACTCTAATTTCAAAGTAGCAAATTAGATCAGCAATATTGCAAGTTCTCACAAGATCTGTTTGTTGAGGGTGACTCTCAGCTTCTACTACATCAAATGAGTTCAATATGTGTAAAAATAAACTGAATTACACACATTGTGGTGTTGACAGAAGTTTTAGTTGTGGCAAAACATCTTGGATTGGATTGACTAAAATTAATTACTTTTACAATCAAACTAACAAACTGAGCTTGTAATTTGGCTTATTTTATTTTGTTATAGGATTAATTTAGTCATTTAAATCTTTTTTTAAAATTATTATTATACAGATTAAAATTTGCTCCGATGATAGACTAGTTCTGTATTGACTGACGTACCATGTGCTGAATGTCACTCTATCCCAAATGATCTTAATGAAAATAACTAATTTGATCTTGGGGCGACTGTGGCAGAGTGGTTAGGGGAGTCATCCTGGAACTGGAAGGTCACCGGTTCGATCCCCCGTCCAGCTGTCTCAGTTGTTGTGTCCTTGGGCAAGATACTTAACCCCAATGCCTCTGATGTGTGTCCCATCAGTGTATGAATGTGATTGACACTGATTAGTCTCCGTAGTTGATTGTACATGTTAGCTTTGTAGAGACCTAATAGAGTGCTGTGTGAATGGGTAAATGAGGACACAGATTATAGTGTGAAACGATTTGAGTATCCTGGATGGATAGAAAAGCGCTATATAAGTACAGTCCATTTACCATCTTTTTTGGCTGACAGCTCTTATATTTTTCTTCCTGTTATTTTAGGTGAATCACTTGCGGTGCCTGCATGAGTTTGTGGAGGCTCAGGCTGCGTATTATAAGCAGTGTCATCTCCACATGCAGGAGCTTCAGAAAGAGTTGGGAAGGTAAGATCTTGCCATGAAATTCACCTAATTTCCCTCTGGGATCAATAAAGTATTTTTGAATTTGAATTGAATTTGAATTGAATGAAGTGACATTTTTAACTTTTCCTACTTTAGTATTTATGTTTAAATGCATAATGTCTGCCTAATGTGTGAAAACTACAAGCTTTCTTTCCCAGAACAAACAAGATATAAATGAACAGCTGTACATAAAAGCTTTCAGAAACAAATCATAGTTAAGATCCATCCCAAGCTTTTTATCACACATTTCCTCATCAGCAAAATCACCATCCCTGCTTCTCACAAACTCCATCATGTAGTTGTAGTTATATATTTCTTTTGGGCTCATTCTGTAATTTTTATTTTGGTAAAAAAAATAAAATAAAATAAAAAAACAGACTTTTGTGCATTTATTCGCACACATACAGGTAGGTTGCCGTGTTCACACAAGAACTTCCCAAAGCTATTTAGAGCACACACTCGTGCAGCACTTTGCCGTGATTGGAGTTTTATTGGCTTTACGTCTGGTGTCAGAACTAATAGGCTTGATCTGCATGCAAAAATAAATAAATAAATACAAACAAATCTATGTAGCTTTCACATGACATGACAGCCTTTGAATATTGTTGGCTCTGAAAATAAAATGGCTCAACAATAGTGTTCAAAAATAATCTGCACAGCCATTTTCATACTGTTTTATTTCAGTTTATATTTATCAAAATCTACAAGGGTGACAGATGAAAAATCTCAGGTTGAGTCCTAAAGGCATGTACAACCCCTGGCAAAAAGTATGGAATCACCAGTCTTGGATGAGCACTCATTCAGACATTTCATTCTGTAAAACAAACTCAGATCAAAAACATGACACAATAATAAGGTCATTCCAAAGTGCAACTTATTGGCTTTCAGGAACACAAATAAATGAAGAGAAAACATTGTGGAAGTCAGTGAATGTTACTTTTATTGACCAAGCACAGGGAAAAAATATGGAATCACTCAATTCTGAGGAAAAAAGTATGGAATCATGAAAAACAGATCCATCCATCCATCCATCTTCTGTACACGCTTCTTCCTTTTCAGGGTCACGTGGGTCACTGGTGCCCATATCCAGCAGTCACAGTACAAGTCAAGTCAAGTCAAGTCAAGTCA